GAACTGCTTGCTTTGGTTACAGCTCTTCTCACTCAAGCTTATACGTGGTCTGTTGGTCAGCCTGCAAGTTTGATGACAGCACATCAGAAGTTAATAGACCCATTTTCAGATATTTGCACACTGACTGAAGAGAAAAATAATCACTGCCTCATTTTTCAGAGCTACATCCATAAATCACCAATAAAAACAAACAAAAAAGCATTTTTACTTAGTCACCAGTACATCCTTCTGCTGATCAACCAAAGAAAAAAAAAAAAAAAAAACAGTAGCTTTCGACTATTAATTTTATTAAAGGGATTGATAGAACATCATAAGAGCATAGTTTCAGTGAACTTGCACAAATACATTTAAATGAAAAACTGAGAAGCCAGAACAAACGCTAGGGGTCTGGTCCTGAACATATGCCTTTTGGACACAAGCTGTCTCTTTCTGTGCCTTGTAATGAAAAAACATTAGGGAAGCTGAGATTTATTGTTATAGTCAGTGAAGAATTCTAAACATTAACCCATACCTCCATCTGACTTAAGCTACATGGATGAAGACGATCCAGTAGTTTACTAACAGTAACTGCCAAGCAAAACTCAGCAGCTGAACATAAACAGGAATAAAATTACACTTGTCTGAAAAAGCAACTGAAAGACTCACGTTCATCTCTGCTGTCACAGTGCTGGGTGAGAAATGGAGGCTATGCCTGTGTGACACACAGCTGCACAACTGAAACCTTTTAGATCTCTATCAATCCTGAGTAGACTGCTGAGACTAATGGCTTTTACTCAGAATCCAGAATTGCATCTTGCTGAAGTAACAACAGGCTACGTCACCTCAAGGCTGAGTAGTTGTGAATACCGTAAATGAAGCTGCACTTAAAACGCTCAGGAAATTTCAGCTACTGCAAAGTTTGGCAAACCCTTCAATTAATGTACTTTCCGCAGCCATGTTCTTCATATCTACGCACAATTCAAGACCTCAGTTCTCCGTCTATGACATCCTGTATTATTTAAAACTCGCCTGGAGGAAATCCAAATAACACCATTAATAAAACGACAGCTAAATCCATAAATTCACCATTACTAAACAACACCAGGGCAGACTTCAGACTAAAAGTTTAGATATTTCTTGCATGCGAGACAATCTGTTTCTCAGACTAAGAAAAATCATTACATAGAGACAGATCTGAACTTAACTGAGCATAAGTATAAATAGATTTACTTTTTTTTTTTTTTTAAATAGAAGCATGTAGCAGTGATAAAACATTTACTATTAAATAGAACGCAACTAAAGATGACCTAGTGGGGATTTGCTTTAAATTAAGATAAGGCAGGCATCCTAGTAAAGCTGAAGCCAAACCAAAACTGCAGGCAGCTTTTTCCATATTTAATTCCATGTTACAGTAAGCATTCTTACTTTTATGCACACACACACACACACACACACACACACACACACACACACACAGAGCCTCCAACAGAAAATTCGCATCTGTCCCTAATCTATGCCCCCTTACATACAGAATTTCTGAATGCAGAACAGAACCACATGACAAACAAAAGAAGTACCTTTCATTTACAAGCTGCTTTGCACAGCTCATGTTATGATACATTTCAGACTAAAAAGCAACCACTGTAAGATGAAGGTGGATCTCAGTAAGAGTATTGCTTTATCACAACAGCACAGCATTTGTTCATTAGCGCTCAAAGTTCTGCAACATATATAATTATCCTGATAAGACCTGCTGTGAATTCATCCACTGTACATTTACCTGTGCTAGCTATGAGTCCATAAATTAAATGGCAGTCTTTTCTATCCAAAACAAGCCCGACGCTGGCATTTACAGAAACATCCACACACAATTCTACCACCAAACTGAAGCCCAGTCTGTCACATCTCAACACCACAACTGGCAGGCACCTGGAACTCATCAACCTTACATTCAAAACATTAGTCTGAAACGCACCACAGTCCTATGCATTTCTCAGATTAATTTACAAGTTTTAAGCATGCTTATCTTAAAATATGTAGAAAACACACTGGAAGTACAAAAAGGGCAAGGAAATAACAGAGTCGGCTATTCATCTGACCATAATTATATCAGAACTGAATGCGTTTACACTGAAAAGACAAGTTATTTAACTTCTCAGAGTAAAAAGTGCATTTTCATTATTTCTGTGAAGAATACAAGGAAGAACAAAAATGGTTTTGAATTCTTGCCTGGCGATTTGATTTCATCCAATTCATATTCCAAGGTCAGAGTAAATTTTAACCAAGGTAAGAGATAATGCCCAGGAAAAAAAAACATTGCTAAATTAAACAGAAACCAGTTATCAAGGCAATGCTGACAAATTTTGCTTTAAACTGTTTATACAAGAAAGGCTTGTCAATTTTAGAAGTGAACGTAACAAAGCACACCCATAACGAATGCTCTTCTCTTTGTGAACTAGAGAACCACAACAAAAGTCTTCCTACTCTAAATAGCTGCTCTGATTTTATGAGAACTGCAACAGATGCCCTTACATTACTAGTTGCCCATCATACAACAAGCTCATTAGAAGAGTCTCTTTCTCCAACGTTTTAGAGAAGGGAAAAAAAAATCACTGCAGCAGAATGAACTGTAATTATTTTTATAACTTACAAAGATGTGCAAGTACACAAGTACTTGCCATTTCGTAGCTACCTACACAGAGATACAGGCTCCTTTACTATACTACAGAAACTCAATGAACGCAGGGAATTCAGAGCAGCAACGTCAATAGAGATAGAGTGCCTTCATACCAAAACCAGAAAAGTTCTGGTGTAGAAGCAATCTGCCATCCTACCCCTTATACACAAGAAGTTTCCATCAATCATCAGAATGGTCTAACTGGTCGATTCAGCTAAAAACATAAACGATAAAGTGCACCTACAAACAAGTCAATTCAACACTCCTGAGGATAAAGTGCCCCAGAATCAACTACAAAGACTAGCTGCACGTACACACTAGGCCAGGGGAGAAATAATACATTTGTTAGATGTTGACTCGGTGATTCACACCATCATACTGCTGTTTGCACAACCACTCAAACTGATCCTCACATCTTTCTACTTAACTGAAAACATCTACTCTGATTAAAAATACTTAAAAGAAAAAAATAGCACCACCAAGTAGCCCTTTTTTTTTTCCCCTGAAAAAAAAAAAAAAAAAATGTAATGCATCTGTCAGTAAAGTTATCCTGCTTCTACCCCTACTTGAAATCCACAGTTGAACAATGGGTTGTTTGAGACAGCAGTTCAAAAGAATGTTCAGCTTGAAATAATTAACAAAAAAGTTTGACTAGTTCCAAATACCGTAGCCAGCAGAAAGTTTTTCTACTGAACACTTAACAGAATTTAAATTAGAATTTTGTCAGAAATTTACTAATCCGAAGTAACCAATTAATTGCCATACTAACAACAAGGGTTTGTCAAGCACAGAAGACTCTTCTGATCCGCAGCAAGAATGAGTTATTTTGTGAATGCAACTTTTGAAAGCAGCACCAATTCTCACTTTCCACTACCATCTGAGCTTAAGCATGACTCAAGACAGGAGCAGTACAGTTTCACACCATGACAACGTTATTTTCCAACAGAAAATCTACAAAACTCCATTCTCGCATTGTATTTATATAATGTTGCAATTGAACCACAAGACTTGCTTCCCCACTGATCTCATGTGAAAGCATACAAGTGTGACACACATGAAACTGGGAACTGTTGAGCTGCCTGAATCTTTCATAAAAGTTTAGAAAAAAAATCTTTACACACTGGTAGTTCACAAGATTTAAGAAGGAAGATGAGAATGAAAAAGGTAAGACATAATGCAGCTTAGAGAGCTTTGGTGATTCCACTCAGCCACAAATTCAAGTGTAACAGTTTACAGATCATACAATTGGTTAATGGCACCTGTTAATGCACCTGGAAGAGCAGCTAAAGAGAAGCCACAATTATTACAATAAAAAGCAACAGAAAAACAAAGAATGATTTTCGCCTGCAGTACATGATTTAACACAGGGAGCAGCAAAGGTTGGAAAATTCTCCTTTCTGATTTCCATCATAACACTGTAATCCAACTACATTCACATTTATTACTTTTTAGTTTCTGTCCCCGAGTAATTTCCAGTATTATTTAACGTATCAACAGTCATACACTGGAAATAGGAGAGTTTGAAACCACTGCTTTAAACAGTATGAATAGTAACCACAGTATTTAGGAACATATAAATACTTGTAATAATTTTCATGTTTTCTTGTAATAAGACATGCAAGCCCAACATCACCATGACAAACTGACAAACTCAGGACAACAACCAAGCAGGCTAGAAAGTACAAGGCTGTCAATAGTTAACTGACAACTGAAAGTGGTCTCTGCTTTGCCTACAATCAAAAGCTTTCCAGCATGTTCAAAGTTCAGTTGGTTTTGATTTTATTTATTAAGACTGGAATGGAGTAACTAAGAACAGAGAAGATCTGTAGACATCTATGAACTCTCTTAACTGCACACTACTGCTCTATACAACATGTTAAGTACTACAGCCTATATGTGGGCAGATTGCATCCTCCAGAAGTCAATTTTAATTCAAGTCTGTAACAGTATCAGAACAGCCTGTGTCATTCCCCCAGATGGTCTATACATATTTCTTAGGCACACAGATGAATTAGGCAGTAAGAAACACTAATACAATGGTGACAGAAAAAAGTCCACCAGGTTCTATTAAACAAAGCAATGCAGAAACAACCTCATACTCCTGAGCCAAAGAAGTGCCAGAAACAGGGAAAGCATGCTAGAGGGAAGGGGCTGATGTTCTCTACTCGCCTTGCTTTTCTGTCTTTCTCAAAGTGAACAAGCACCAACAAATACTTTAGGAAAGTATTAGGTTGGATTGATCTTTCCCTACGATAAGCTGTTCAGTAAATTGAATATACAAGACAACAATAAAAACAACAAAGATAAGTTATCAGAAAACAGCTTCCTTTCAAAACGTCCATACCTGTGGAAGTGCAGTATTGAGCTGTCTCTGCAAGGAATCTCTTTCATGACCAACTTCATGCAGCTTGCCCTGGGTCAATGCTAGCGTCTCCTGAGTTTCTCTTAGTGTTTCCAGAAGGCGATCCCTTTCTTCCAACATGGATACCATTAACTGCTCAAAATGGGAATCAGCATCTGACTGTAATGGGGAACCTGAACCATGGCCTCCATTTCCCCCAGAGGGAATCTCTGCCTCGCTGATGGTTGGCATCACCTCACACATCATCTTGAAACAAAACAAGACAAAACAAAGACAGTACATTTAAGTCAAACAAATCTAAACAGGATAAACAAAAGGACTTTGGATACTATCCATAATATCAGCTTAGGTCTCTCAATGATAGCATCAGCAACAGTTGCCAACACCTTAGTGTTTGCCACTATTTCATTAAGATTGTGGGTGAAAAGGTAGACAATCAATTTAATCAAGGCATCACTCCATAATGAGAATCCTGTGACATCTTGCAAAACCAGATTTTTACAGCTGCTTTTTAAGCTATGATCTCATTTTAATGGACTTATATTTTTGTTAAGAGCAAACTGCCACTGAGATCTTTAAAAAACAAAGATAAGGCATGCAACAAGCCACCAAAAATTATATACTTAAACCAGTTACTGATTACACTGCATATTTTGAGAATCATTATATGCTTCTTCCAAGTCTTCAAACACATAAAGATAATATCTAAAATAGTACTCTGAACTTATGCTGCTGTCTTGCAGAAACCCACTGCTAATGTGATGCATATAAACTAGAGGTAAATCCACATAGTCCAAATTCAGGAGATAATAACATAAAAAAAGATAAAAAGAAAAATGGATTACAAAGTAGTAGCAGCTGTCATTGCGAATAAACGTAAACGAGGTTTACCTTTAAAAAAGGTAAATGAACATAAAGGTAAACGTAATTGAAAATAATTCAAGGCAGAGTATGAATACAATTAATTAGGCAAATGTAAGTACTTTACTACAGTCAAACTGAAAGGACTTTTAGGAGACCTAACAGATCACGAATGGCTATGATAACAAGTGTTTTAAAAACTTGGAAAAACATACAAATATTTACAAACGATTAATTGCACTCTTTCACTGAACCACTTAAGACTTCTGAAGTTCTTTAGACAGCCTCTTTCAACATCAGAGATCTGTAACACTTACAAAATGGTTCGCTCAGTTATCAGTTGTTCTCAGCATTAAGCTCCACATTCATTTTAATGAAAAACTGAACTTATTCAGAGGCTTTTAACGAGGTTATACCTCTGAGTCTGCTGAAAGGTTCTGAATACCCTTAAGTGCTCTGCAACATCTTGGTGTATGATTACCGCAAGCCCTATACTTTCAACACTACTACATTATTTACCTTGCTCAATAAAATAAAAAGGCTTGGAAAACGGGCTCCAGGTTTCCAGCAGTACCGGTTCTTCTGTTTTTAGTAGTTTTTTCTTATCCTCCAAAATCTTGTGGATTGCAAAGCATCCATTCAGCTTCAGTCCAACATCTGCTTAGCTGAAACACCCCGTGTATGTGAAAACAAATAAAACTGCCCAATAAAGAGCAGCTCCAATAAAAAGCAGCAGCAACTCCAGCTAACTAGCCAAGTCCCCAGCACAGAAGAATGTGAGAATTAACCTCCAGTCTATTGTTGGCCCATAGGTCCTGCAACAGCTGGGATGGAGGAATCATGTGCAGAGAGAAAAACAACGTAGTCCAACGCTCTGGTGCAAAAGCTTCAACAGTTCATGGCTCGGAAATCCCACTCAGGTCACAATCGCATTATTAAACAGAATACGGGCAGCATGGGAAAACGGCTCGAGTTTTATCGCGAGGGATTTGGAAAAGCCTCCTTCCTTTTCTCTTCTGCGAATTCCAACAGGAGGCTCACCTTTCAGTTTCCTGGGTCTCCGTCCAAACATTTATAATCCCAGCAGCGAGGAGCCGATATCGGGTCGGAAAACGCGGGGAAGGGAGACCCGTCACTGCAAAGCCTTCTTCAGCCCTCAGCCTTCCACCCAGCGCAAAGCCGAACGCTGAGGCAGCTCCCGGCCGGCTCGGGCCCCGAGGAGGAACGGGGGAATGCGACCGTGCGGGCCTCGCCGCTCCTCTCCCCAGCAGCAGCCGGCCAAACAAAGATGCCGGGCGAACAGACGGAGCCTTCTGCCCCGCGCCGGGCCGCGCCTCTCTCCCCGTTGAAGGTCCTCAACCCCGAGCCCGCCCACGGAGGCTCCGGTGCCGCGAGATCCAAACGAGCCCCCCTCTCCAGGCCCTACCGAGCGGTCCCTCCGAGCCGGGCCCGGCTCCGCCCGCCACCGCCGCCTCCACGTCCGTGGCGGCCGATAAGCGGCCGGCCGAGGCCGGGCAGGGTGCCTCCACGACCCGCGGGGCGGTCCGGAGGAGCAGTGAAGGTCCTGCGCTCTCAGAAAGCCCGGATCGCTGCCGGCCGGCCCGCAGCTCCGCGCCGCGCCAGCCCCGAGCGCCGCCGCCGCCGCCGCCTCCGCGCCGCCGCCACCCGCGTCTCCCGGCGCCCTCTGCGGCTCGTGCATAAATCAATGCGGGGCCCACAATGCACCGCGACAGGTCGGCGTGCGGCCCGCCTTCCTCTCCGCCCCCGGCTGTGGCCTCGCTGCAGCGGGTTGGGTTCGGCTCGGCTTCCAGCCTTTCTCACCCGGGTCCCGGAGTTCGAGTCCTGTTTCCCTGCGCGCCCTTCCCTACCCCTACAAGAGACGCTCCCGCCGCCCACGGCTACCCGCCCGAAAGGAGGGCTGCCCCGTCTTGGTGGCAGCGCCCTGGGACGGGAGGCGTGCTCGCGGAACAACGGGGAGGGCCGGAGTCGCTGCCAGCTCCCCGAGTGGCCCCGTCACCGCAGCGACGGCCGGTGCGGCGTTCCCTCAGGGGCCCGGCGTGTCGCGGCACGGCCCTGCTGGGCGGGTCTGCCCGCTGCTTTGCAGCAGGCTGCCGGCATGGCCCCGGAGTCGGCGTCTCGGCCTGCTCCCTGCCCTCAGTCCGCCCCCTCGCCTCGGCCTGCTGTCTGCGATCTGCACGCTTTCAGCGAGCCTTAAACATTTGCGAGGTGGAGCGGCGTGTTTAGGTCTTTAACCTCGTAGAGCTGTGAGGCAGTGATTTTCTCCTGTGAAACAGTCTAACTCCATAACTCTGACATAAGTAAAGCGGACGGGAGAGCCAACTGCTCCCTGCTCCTCTTGCCTGTGCAGGACGGGAGGTTTAATGGTGATGGAAGCAGTGTGCCGAGCTTCCCTTCAGCAGCGATTGCCGCGCTGTATGCACAGCCCGACCCAGGTCCCACCAGCCAGAGGTGGCCTCTCTGGCACGGCTCATTCCCCACAGGAAGCAGGCTGTGGGTGCGCTGACATAATAATGTCTTTTTTTTTGGTTTCTTTTTTTTTCCCTGCATGTGACCTGTTTCCAAAACAGCATAGATGTGTTTTCCACATAGTTTTCACTCTGTTCCTGGATGATTGTGCTGCTAGAGCTTTTTTTTTCATGCACCTGAATAAAGATGGAAAGTGTAGGCAAAGCTTTGAGAAATCTTTTCTCCATTCTTCTCGAGCTCTGTGAGAGAGTTGTGTTACTGCTATGAATAAAGCATTTGCATTTTGGTTCCTGTTCTTGCTTTTATAGTGCAAAGTTCTGAAAAGCATCAAGGGCCGGTTACACAGACAGAGGCAGAACATGCCAAGAAGTAGCAGTACCCGCGCTGAAGCTTGTGTGGTTTTGTGCCCAGATTATATGACACCTCATTTGTGAATGGAACATATTGATACCTGGCACTGAATAGAAAGGACCGTTAATTAGTCACTCTTCCTTCCCCTGAGTACAGAAATCTTTACAATTACCAGTTTACTACACTGTGCTCTTTTTCTTTCCTTTGGTATTAGAGTCTTCAGGGTGAATTCGGGTCACGTTTTTAAGCTTTCCTCCTTCCACAGCCATGAGGTTTGATTTTTTATTTTTTTTTTCCTTGAGGGTTGTGTTGTTATCACATGACTCTGGGAGCTGGAACTTTAAGGAAGAAGCCAAATATTATGAAGCACATTCAAATCACGAGTTCTGCCAAATGCTGGTTAGCATAGTTAACACTGAGTTAGGGCACAATTTAAGCATAATTAAAAACAAACAAACAAATAACCTGAGATCTATCTTTTCAGTATAGAAATGTTAAGGAAAAAAAGGGTAAAATCAACTGTGCTGTTTCAGAGGAAATTGCCCAATGCTATGAATTAACCTGTGTTGTCCAACAGTCTTAGTATGACTTAATACTATTACTTATAAGCATTGATATATTCATACTGACATAGCTAGAAGCTTGTAAGCTTGGATTTTAACATAGTGTGCTTAAAATGATCACAGGAGGGGAAGAAGACAAGGACATTCTTCATTTGGGCTTCTCCTTTTACGTGTTACTGAGGGGTCCTGTTATATAATTCACATTAATGTAAAAACTAACCATGAAGTCTGGGCTATGGTTATGAAACACAGCAACACATTTCTGGAGGAAAACAAAGGTAGTTACTTAATGCTGCAAAGTAGGTCCTGAGTATTACCTTGAACTTAATCAATTCTTTATTTCTAAGCACACTTCTACAGAGGAATGCTTCTATTCTTTTGCCACAAACTGCATTTTGCCAGTGTTAACAAAGCTCTCCCATAAGTTGCATGCAGTTCATCCATGATTATATTATCTACTTGTACACCACAGGTGGTGACTTTCATTCTATAAAGAAAACAAAAATATTCTGGCAAAGATACATAAACTTTTCAGATTCAAGTGAAAATCTGATGCAATTTTCTAGGCACAGTCACAAACATAGAATGAAAATGTACAGGGGGAAGAGGAAAGGTGGGATTTCCTTACTTCTCAGACTAGGATTTCAGGTAATTCTTTCCTTCCTCTATAATGCAATATTCACAAAGGAAATAAAAAATGTAAATAAGTCTAATTGATACTGGTCTAATAAAGTGGAATTTTGAAAACTGAAAAGCATTTAAAAACTAAAGCAAACTTTTGGAAGGAGTGAAGGGTTGTTTTTTTTTCCTGTCATGATTTTGTTGTCACTTGTACTATTAAGTTTAATATCAGTGGTACTCTGCTTATTTTTTTATCAGAAAGCCTTCCAAATTAGTATTTACCAATTACGTATCAAAATCTGGACACCAATTTCTTCAAGTAATTCTCTGCAAGGGAAATGATATTTTCAGCTGTAGTAGTAGAACAGCCATTTCATTACATCCACTGATCTATTCTAGGTCCAATTTATGCACTTTCTAGATTTCATGTTTACACCTGCATGAAAAATATCTTGAAGCAAAGAAGAGTATTTCAGGTTAATGCTGAAAGGAGGAAAAACATATTTTACACATGAAGTAGAAAAGATACATGAAAAAAATTCTAATTTTTCTGTCATTCTCCAAACATTACTAGGTATGGACCTCTGCAGATGAACTGTTGTGCGTAAACTACCATCACATGACAGACAGTGGAATTTTTCAACAAAATCTTTGGGCATAACAATTACAGGATGCTGAATTAAGCTGCCATCAACTGATTGTAATCAAATATTTGTTAGGTTTCTTTATTACTACTAGAGTGATTTTTTTTCCACTGACAACAAAGAGTGTAGAACTCCAGCCAAAGCTTTCCCACTGCAGTTGTTTCAATGAATCAAGAAATACAGCTATTCAGAAAGGAACAATCTGTAGGATAGGGACCATAATAACTTTCGGAAAAGTAATCAAAAAAGTGCAACTACAAATTTCAAAAGACTTTCAAGTATTTAATGGAATTATCTCATTGCCACTAATTGGCAAGCAATAAACTGTTGCAGCATGGAAGTAGAGATTCAAATATGAGACAGCACAGGCAATCGGTAGTTAGTGTTGAGATCTTTTCTGCTTCACAGACTCAAAAGTCACGTCTTGCCTCTTATGCTAAGCTGAGATCCGAATTTTTGTCCCCTGTGAATATGTTCGTCAGCTGTTCAGCCGTGGCAGCAAGGGCAACAGTCATGGGATACCTTTGCTGATAGGACAGTGCTCATTGTTTTGCCCTCGTCCTTTGGGAGTCAGAGTTCAAAGGCACTGAAGGTGTTTGTCCTGACTCTGCCTCATCAGTGTTGCAAGTCGAAGAAGTCCTTACAGGTGAGAATGCAGGTGGGACAGTACATGTTAGCAAGGGTGAAATCCTTACATGTTATCTTGATTACTTCTGCTCTACCAGTTCTGTGGACAGAGCACTTCCATCAAAGGAGCTGCCAACCAGCCTCTTCAGAATAATGTTTTCAAGTGAAAGCAAAACTTGCTGGGAAAAAAAAAAGTAGAATTTACAGCTGTATGAACAAACACTATTTTACTTCAACTTGTCATACATAAAGAAAAATGAAAACGAATAAATTTCCCTAGAAGGAATACAGCCTGGTTTGATTTTCATTTAATACATGAGTCAAATGGAAGGCTTGTGAACGTAAGGGTAAAAGGTTAAACACCATAGGCACAGAACTGACAAACTATATAAAACTGGACACCGCACTGCATCCAGTCAGACTAATTGCTCTTAGACAGTGGTTATGTGGAATAAATTCATAAGTGAGCCTCTGTATCCACAGAGATCCTGAAAGATATCATTACATTTTCTCTCAGTTTGGGATGACCTAGAATGTAGATATTTTTGCTTTTGAAACTAAATGATGTTTTGGCTTTGAGTGGTTAATAACAAAACTGAACCATTCTACCAAAACTATAATCATGCTCCATTACGAAGGCAGAAAAAAGAACATAACACACAATTCTGAATTGGAGAGTAAATATGTAGGAACTGAATGAATTAATCCTGACTTCACCTAGTCAGTTCACAAGGCACAGGCACTCTCATTCAGCTTTCCCAGCTCATCTTACCTGTGGCCAGACTTCCCTTTTAGGAAGCAAAAAGTGTCACCTGTAGACTCTCCTCAGCCTAAAGGAGTTGCCACCACAGTCCTTGTCATCTCCAAATCTTGTATTACTCTATACACAACTTTTAGAGGAGAGATGGAAATGCTAGTGGTTTAGGCACTTGATAAATGGGTTTCAGTCTCCAGAGCCTCAGGTAGAAACAGAGTTCACATTGCATATTAAATGTCTCATATAAAAGAGAGGCACTGTCTCCTCATATATAAAGAGCCAGGCATTTATTCATGCCCAAAAGGATAGCTTAGTCCAGAAGAAAACTCAAATTCAGA